CATCGACATTCTAGGCGCACGCTGAACGTCACAAAAACCATAGCAACCAGAGCATAAACCGTCAGCGTACGTGACGATTTACCCACGCGCGTGTTAGTTGCCATGATAATTGCACGTCGTGCGGTGATTACAAAGGACTAATGATATTTTGCACTAACATTAGACTGAAATTATATTCTTCATTTCAACATTAATTTTACCAAAATTGTGGTGAATTGTCGTTCATGAGACTAACTTCGCAGAAAAAATTAATAAATGTTCTGTATATACTCAAATGTTCGTTTTCGGCACCTTATGCCAACATTGTCAAAATGACAGTTTAATGTTGCATAAGAACATGAAATTTTATAAAATTCGTAAATTTTAAATTGCTATAACTTTTTATTTTTTTGGTCAATTTTTACAAATCAAATCGCAGCTTATAGAAGCATCTAACAAGCTCGCAGGTTAAAAAAATCAGATGTAACAGTACCCAAAATTAAATTAATAAAAACTAACACCATAAAACGAATGGCCCACATAGACTAATAATTGACGGCTGTACTCGCAACTAGTATCGGATAGTCGATGCCACAGTAAAGATCAAAGGACTGTACGCACGCGCTATGTTCGAGAGCGGAGATGTGCGTCCTTCTGTTGAATTACCTTGGTTGTAGCATGCTCTATAAGCATGCTGCTGTTGCTGTCAGAAGTTGTTGTTGCTGTGGGATGCTGCTGTCCGAAACATGCAGTTGTTGCTGTCAAACTCTACTTTAGTTGTTGTAGCATGCAGCTCTAGCACGCTTTTGTTACTGTTGCACTTTGCTGATTATGCTGCTGTAGCATGCTGTTTTAGTATGATGCTGTTATTGCTACTTTGGTGCTACCATTTTTTTTTTATTATCTAAATTTTACTTACTTTTTTCCATATTGGTAGAGTGTTAAGAAATGCAATGACATTTTCATCTAAAAAAGGAAATCTGGCTTCCCTACCATGATCTGCTATTATTCTGCAAAAAAGAAAAAAAAATATTAATGTTACAATATATAATACTGTATAAAAACAAGTATATAAACAACTGTATTTTAAAACAAGATTAAGAAACATCCACAACAATATAATACAATAATGACAATTGTTTATTACCATCATCAAGCACTATGACAGTTTTTGTGAGGACAGGGGGTCACAAGAAGTTGGTTAACAGGTTAACAATTATAAATACGTTGGTTTTGTCTTTAATAATTTGGGGTGACCACATTGATTGATAGTTTGGCGAAAAAAATTAAATCCAGATTTTACTGCATGCTAATAAAGAATTCCTTAACAATAAATTATGTCTGTTTTTTTATAATTATGTTATCTGTGGGGTTTAGACATACTATATCACTGGGTGGGGAGGTAATGTTACACTGACCGACAAAGAGAGGATCAGTAGAGAGATTAGGAAGGTGGAGAGGATGGTTGACGAGAGCCAGAGGTCGGTGGACTCTGTCTACCTGGAATGTTGTTTTGCGACTGTTCAACTGTATTCTGGAAGACGAAAGTCACCCAATGCATGTTATAGTTGCCGGACAGAGAATCACAGGGTATTAGGCAATATAATTTTAATTTTAAAAAGTTAAAAGCATTGGCTTATTTCATCTGTATCTACGTTGTTGAGATAATGAACTTTATTATTGTTATTGATGTCAATTTAACATTTTTAACCCTGTACAATTTTTAACTTCTTGTTGCATACCTTCTAGGTACCATAGAGAGATATGAAATTTCCCTACTGAGGATGAATAAAACATTTTGAATCTGAATCTGAATGAGAGGATAAAAGGAGAATAAATGTAATACAAGGGATTGGCCAGGATGGTGAGGAAAGGTGTGAGATAAAGAGGGAAGTAACATTGACTAGAAGCAGAAATAATGGACAATTATTTCATCAATAGGTTTGAACAATCTTCAAAATACATTGATTTATAGTAATGTACTTGTTTTCCAGTGTCAGTATATATGTATCATATTTTGAACACATTATGGTGTAATCATTAATGCAAGTATTTTATATCACTGAAATGTGATTGATTTCATGCACATTAAACAATTGTTGAATAGCATAATTTCTGTGAACAAAAAGCATTCTGTGAAATTGAAAGGCACAATTTCTGTAAAATTTGCCAAACTTGTTATTTTTGGGAGCTCGTCAAATTCAATATCATTTCCTCTCAACTACTTTTGCCACCTGTTTTCCAATAACTCTGCTAGCATTTTTTTTATATCTTCTTTTTAACGCATGTTTTTTCATGTTGAATGATTAATAAAAATTTGACTTGGATTTTGACTTCGAGAATATTCAGTTGATAATAAATACTCGTTTTACTTCGTAACTATTAGCATTATAGGAAATTATATTATGGATACATAAAAAATATCATTAATTCATTAATAACATTAATTTCTTCTTTTAAACATGCATGTAAAGATCATTTCTTGAAATTCAATTAAGATAATTTTTGTTTGTGTGTTATGTTAGGTTTTAGTCATGGGTCATGTTACATATATTACAAATATATCTTATCTACCTGCTTGGTTATGAAAAATGGTCGCCATATAGATATTGAATTTGTAGTGGAGTCACATTTATCATTGATAGCAGTATATATGAGGATTCAGTGGAGCACGCCCCACAAAAATTACTCGCGCCCCCCCCCAAAAAAATCATGGTCAAGTAGTTAAAAATCACCTAAAATCACATTATTTTGCGAATTAGCGCTCCTCAACTGATCATCGAGAG